TCGTGGAGGACCCTTTCCATTGACTTCCGCGAGATTTCCATGTCGCGAGCTAGCGTCGAGATGCTCCGAGTCGCGTTTCTTGCTATCCGCTTTCTGGCGGCCTCGACGACCTTCGGCGTGCGAGCAGTACGAGATCTTCCGCTTCTTCGGCGGTCTTGAAGTCCACCAAGGTCTCGATAACGTTGGAGTGTGCGATACACGACGCTGCGGTGGATGCCGATCGTGGTGGGTGGGCGACCGGCTTTGTGCAGACGAACGATAGCGGAACGATCAGGAGAAGACTTCACCATTTCACTATGAATTGACCAAATTTAACCAATTTTTAACAGGAGTTAGGATAAATGATGAGATTGAAAAATACACAAAGTGGCGCGCTATGTGCGCGATAGAATGTACACTAACTGCAGCAAGTCTTGTCGCTATAATTATGGCCAACCCTGTTTTTTGAAGAGCTTTTCACACTCTATCTAACAATGCCACGTGCGTCCATTTTCGTCTCCTCTTTCTCGAGTTATGATCTCTAGAAGTCATCACTATCATTTTGTCGGAGAACTTATGACTCAACCTAATACAAAATTCTGCGAGAAATAGAAAGATGCAGTTTCGTATTTAGCTAGCTACAGTACGGCCTTAATGTCTTGAAATCTTGAGTAAAAACGCGCATTTTCGTCTTTTTTGTCTTTTTTTATTATAATACCTTGCTTATATTTTTGAAATTTGCATTAAGAAAAATGCATGGTCAGCTCATGACTCGTGACTATCTTGGTTTTGTTAATTTTCTGCCTACTTTGGCTTTCTGTCTTTCTCTAATTTGCTATGCTTTTTCCACTCATGCTGCAGAACATATGTAAATAAAAAAGATATTGCACAACACCACAGGCACTATAGGGAACTAGTATGCATGAATCAATTTTTCTATTCAGATATGAGGTGGAGCTCGTCAATCTCCAAGTGCAGTTGAGGGAGCGAAGAGAACGTGATACTGTGACACATCTACAGTCGTCAGTAGAACTCAAGGTATGGTAGGGATAATTTCAGACCTGAGACACAATCGGGGTCAGAATGAGTTGACAGATAGCCCGTTCGGACGAAGCTCTAGCTCATTAGAGGCGATATGTGGCCTCGTCATGACCAAATGCACTTTACATTGCTTACACTAACGGCTCTATCTTTGTTTGAGAAGCTCATTGTATCCAAGATCACTCCTAGAACGGAGTGTTTAGCAGGCCTTCGAAGGACTTTCTGCTCATCAATAAGTTGTCCTCTGTCCTCTTAGAAGAACGTAAGATAGTGCTAGAGAAATGCTGGTGAGATTTCCCGTTTGTAGTTGTGAGGATGCCTGCTTTGAGCTTGTGAGGTTTCTTTGAATTTGTTCGGTATGATTAATTAATTCGTTCGTATTTGTTAGCATCAGCAACGTTCATCGAGAGTTTATTTGATGAGAGGGTGTAGACAAGTAGACGTTGGCTTGTTCCTACCCACTTCCGAAACACATTCAATGCTGAAAATCTCACTATATATAAGGCTATAACTTTGCTTGTCTGTTCGTGGGTCGGTTTGTGTGTCCGTCCGAAGGTCACGTAGGCACGACGAAATGAGGAGGTAACGTGAGCGCGGCGAGGAAACAGTTATGGAATGGGAAGTCAACCGATATGCTGCTTTCAGACCTTGACGACCGTCCGTCCGTCCGTCCGTTCAACGCGTGTACGACGGCGGTCACGTGCGTGCCGCGACCGCGCTTCTAGAAGGGTGTTGATAGCGTCTGATCGGTATCCGGCGCTGTCAGCACCCTTCTAGAACCGCGGTTGCGGCACGGACGGACGGACGGACGGCCGTCGAAGTCTGAAAGCGGCCATACTGCTTATATTGGTCCTCTATCAAGTCGTAGCGGTAGTGGGCATGGCATGCTGCACGCGTAGCGTGCATAGCCTAACTGGTGAGAAATAATAATGAAAGTCATGTTTTTGGGGATGTCAAGCGTGTTTTTCGCACAATTTCCACACTAATTAGAACAACACTTTTATCCCTTAATAGCCCAACTAAGGATGGCATTATATTGGATTAGAAAGTCAAGAGTGAAAGCGCAAATGCTTGAAAGCGCTGTTCACATCAAAAATGGTTCCTGCGATTCCATTCTAGGACGAACCTGTTACTCCCAACATTGCATAAGAACTGTTGTCGGGTTGAAAAACGGCAATATAGTGCATACTAACCAGAGAGGGGTAGTCTACATGACATGGATCTTTGAGTTGAGACTCGTGTTGATCGATAGAGTTCTGAAAGCTGTTTACGAATATGGAAATTGAAACTGTAGAATGGCGTCCCCAACAAAGTTATGACGGACGGATCAAAATTCGGTTGAAAATGCGAACTCGTCACTGCGACACCGAACGTCGACGTGGTGTAGTAGTGGTAGTCTCGCTTCGCAGGCTAAAGGTGCGGGTTTGCCCTCCGGCACCGTTATGATTTTTGCGTTGTCTTCTTTNGTTTCTTTGAATGTTTTCAAAACATTTCCTGACATTTGTCCAAGGGAACGCCTTACTTCTGCTTTCATTTGCGCTTGTCGCACCTGGTCAAAGGAGAATGGTTTGGCACGGTAATTTTATGACTCTGTTCCACTTTGATGTCAAGGAACATTCAAGAGAATGTTGGCAGAGATGTATAAGGTACCTGTGAAGAACTCAACATTGACGGAAAAACCTGCAAAAAAAATGTGTGAAGCAACACGTTGTCCACAAACTGCTCACACTATACATGCTGCTCCTCTATAACCGGAGACAAAGCAGTTATTCCTCTCAATATTGAACAGTTACTCGCCATAAGTGCATAGAAGCCTGAATTTTTATCAACATGTACTGCTTGAACCAAGTGCATTTCAAAAAATTGAAAAAAACCCTAAAGCTCCTAATCTAATGGTCAGAGCGGGGGCAACACATATTATGACCAAGGAGCTCATGGTCGATTCGATTTAAACTTGCCTTTTGAGATTATGGATGCTCACCAGGGAATGCATCTAACTGCAGACTCGTGGTCGCCCTTCTACGATACCGACACCACCAAGGAAGTTGTGCCCGAAGATGTATAGCGCGGTTTGTCACTGCATTTGTGAAGCGGTGCGGTTCACTCCCTGACGACCACCTCACTACAGGGCGCAAAGTTGGAGTCCACTCCTATACCTTCCGATGTTACGTCAATGATAATCATCAGAAGTCTTCTTCTCCGGTCCTCTGAAGGACATTATGAAAAGGATCAGGGCAAAAACTACGGTGAATATCGCGGACTTTGATATGACACAGAGAGATAATGTACTTCAATTTTTATCACTAGTGGAATGTTCTGTGCAGCTGGCTTTTCAAAATTTCTGGAGTGCATTTGGTACAAGAATGTTATGTTCATGAAGTTCCAGGCTACTGTGCCACTCCTGGTGAGTATTTGTCCAATCTTGGGACATATGCCTGTTTTGTCCCGGTTTTTGAGAAGCAACATGTATAACGGGTGCAGTTCTTGAACAGCATTTGTGTGCTCACATTTATTCAAATTTTTCCATGAGTGTTAAGTCCCTACAGGCATCTATGGCACCTTAACATTGAGTGTTTCTTGAACAGCAAAGGTAAAATAAAACAGTAATACAATCAATGTGCCAAACTATTCTCCTTTGACCAGGTGCGTCAAGCGCAAATGAAAGCAGAAGTAAGGCGTTCACTTGAACAAATGTCAGGAAAGGTTTTAGAACATTCGAAGAAACGAAAGAAGACAACGCAAAAATCATAACGGTGCCGGAGGGCAAACCCGCACCTTCAGCCTGCGAAGCGAGACCACCACCACTACACCACGTCGACGTTCGATGTCGCAGCGACGAGTTCGCATTTCCAATTGACACTACTGCTAAGCAAATTTCGAGCCCTCATAACTTTTTTTAGGAAAGTCTTTTTGCAGTTTCAATTTCCATATTCGTCAACAGCTTTCAATACTGTATCGATTTATATGGGTCTCGATTCAAGATTCCATATTAAGTAGACTACCCCTCCTTGGTAAAGGCTCCAAAGCCATCTCAGCCGACGTTCACTCCCAAGCCAATCAGTTTTCACACCGTTGTAAAAGCTGTGCATCTCGCACGACTCGCACCCCACGTTGCACAGACGGCTTACTGTAGCCAGCTGTATGCGATGGCACACACATCAAGAGAGTTCGTCCAAACACTTCTTTCACGTGGCTTTTGTCGTCACGTTCGTCTCCAAACCCCAATTTTACTACTTTTTTGAAGCTCATCTTTCTCTGAATGCGCCGATTTCCGCATTTTCTTCGCCGCTTCTGCACTATTATAGACTCAGATTCTACTCGTCTAGAACTAGATGAACCAGAATCATCGTGAAATTTGCCTCTCATAACCTGACAAAGAGAGGAAATTCAAAAAAAANAAAAAAAACTTCTTAACATCTTCACAATGAGTTGTCCAATCATTTCTGGAAACGTCCTTTTCATTTATCTGACCTTACAAAGCAAAATACTCTAAGATAACCACAGAATTTTGGAAGTTATCACCGTTGGAAGGCGATTGTACGAGGTATTACATACACGAATACGTGAAATATGGAACCACTTTTTTCTTTCAGAGAAGTGAGGAGACCATAAATCATTTACGCGACGACAATGTTCGTCTTGAGCGCGAACTTTTCTTATCACACGAGCAGCTTGAATGTGCAAAAGTTAGCACCTTTGTTGCTTTACATTTTTGCGATCTTCATTTTCGATAGTCTCGTTTCCAGAGCGAAATAATCGTACTGCAGCAGTCGCTTGAACGCAGTGAAGCAATCGCTCTGACCTCGCGAAATGATAATCAAAAGTTAGTCTTTCACAGTTTCTGCGAAATCATTTATTTATTTATCGTAGCTTTTATTATAAAGCGTTCAGCAGCAAACGCAATAGCCTTTGCCAGGTAGTGAAGTGTAATTTTTAATCTTCATTTATCTTCAATCAACCCAGGTTGGTGGAGCAATTGGATCGTGCTTTATTCGAAAAAGAACAAACGTTAATAATGGCAGGCGAAGGACAAGAGGCAGCGGCTAAAGTCATCGCTCTAGAAAGGAACATAGCAACGCTAAAATCGGAGTATGATGAGAAATTGAAACAAGTAACATACTGACCATCTCATTTCATCAATTATCTCGCTCCAGAAGTTCTCTTTTATCGAAAAAAGAAAAACTACTGGAACAAGTATGCTATGTTGTAGTAACGTTGCCCGCTACACTGGATTATTCAGGCTTTGGAAGATCTCGATTCGAGTGAGCAGCAACTTCGACATCTGAAGGATGCCGCTGAGCAGGCTTATTTACAACGAGATGAATCTTTAAGAAAGGTAAGTTCACCGATTACTTACATTCAAATGAAGCAGTGTGAACATTGAGATCCCTTGTCTTGTATTGCTTATTGGTAAATCGCTAAGAAATGAAAGCTGGGTAAAAATTGATAAAATAGTAATGTTTCTCGATATTTTTCTAGGAATTTGATAGAATGTACTTGGCGAAGAGACAATTCGGCTTATCCTCAGGGCGCATCTTACAGTTTCTATTTCACTCGAGTAAGAAATATATGTTCTGCAGATGGAGTCGTGGCGGAAGCGATTCGAACTTGCTGCCCAAGAAATAGAGAGTCTCATCCGTTCTAATGAAGAAGTCCGCCACTTGGAAGCTGCTCTCGAGAAGGTGAGAGCCTTATTACATGGTGAAGCAGACACAACAATAGATCTGATCCATGTCGATAATACCATATATATAGAGTTGGCAAAGCTTTTTAAGAGTCGTGTTGAAAAGTCTACGCTCTATGAGGAGTTGTCGTCGCAGCGATCAGTGCTCGACCGTGTTTTGGCAGAAAAAGATGCACTTCTCGCTCAACTGACAGCTCTGAACGGGCAACTCGATGAAAGAACAAATCGGCTGCGACAGGCGGGTGAAGCTAAGATGGACACAACCCTCAGGTGTGCTTCCACGTGGTGTCTATGATCCGTCCACCTCAAGCGTCCTATTGGAATATTTTCAGAATAGTCGAGTTAGAATCACAAATTGCTGCTCTTTTACGAGAGAAAGATGCAGTGGTTGGGCAAGAGCCTGGAAAATCATCGAACAGTGGAGTAAATACGGATCAATCTCTTCTGCAAGTGAATTCAACGCAACATGTTGCAGTGCAAATAGAAAATGAGGTTGTTCGAACGATTGTTTACATTTTACTCTTTTAAATTCAGTGGTTTTTAGGCAGAGCTAGCCGAGATTGAACGCCTTCGCTCTGATTTAAGAAGGGCGGAACAAAGAATAATAGAGGTACAAAGTTATTAGGTTGTTTGGGAAGTAATCACGATTTTTAAGCGTTTCACAAATTTCTTCTCCTATTGAACAGACTTAATCAATGGCATACACCATACTGGTTCAATTATCCTTTGTAATTCTCCTAATGATTTCATAGCTCCTTTCTCGTAGAACTTCCAATTTTGGCCGAAAAACTGGGTCATATGAGATTTGATATCTTCTTTTTCGACGAGATTTCTCATTCAAAAGGTTCTGCAGTGACCGGAGTAACGGGTGTCCACATGGCGCGAGATCAGGGTTATGTGGTGAATGCAGAATTAATTTTCAACCAAACTTTAGTAATTTTGCCGGGCCACCAAGAATGTATGCGATCCGGCCTCGTCATTGTATAACATTACTCCTTTGCAACACAGTTGATGTCCTGATTTTTCAAAAGCACATCAAACTTTAACACACCCTTATAATCCCACCAAACTGGTGCTGCGACCTTCTTTTGATGAAGATCAGCTTTGGACCTCGTTTGGTCTAGTTCATCTTATATTTACCGTATTCGTTTGCGATTGGAATTATTGTGACATCCCGAATTTATCAGCGGTCACTATTCTCTTCATAAATGGGTGGTATTCATTGTGTTTGAATCGAAAATCACAGGATTAACTAGCGGGTCAAGTGTATTTCCTTCAACTCGTGCCACCTGAACGTCAAGCTTTTTTGCCATCTGAGTTTTTTGATATTTTCTCCAGGTTTTCGAAAGTTTAAAAATTCCCTTCGGAGCGTTGGTCCTCTGTGTAAGTTTTTAGAGTTTTCTTTTCCTGTGGATTACATGAGGACCGGCTTTAAACCACACTACCGAAAGGTGCGAGCAATGCATACTGGGCAGCCCACATCGAAGTGAAAAATCGTTGGAACGAAAACTTGTGAACCAGTTTTCAAATGTGCTTTGTGATGACACATCACCAGCTTATATTTACATATATGATGGAAAATATCACCAAAGCATTGCACCTACGATAGAAGTAAAAAAGTGAAATTTCCCGAAAATGCTCCATAGTTTAGTCTCGAAAGTTTTTTAATAAGTCTCAAAATGGTAGAAGCAAGGTGTTGGAAGAGGTATTAACCTCGTGCGAAAAGCTGAAAAGTCGCCCACCCCTGCACTCCTTTCTTTTTAAGTATACTATCACTGTTATGTGTGCCCCTCCTCAGCTATATTTTCACCTAATTGTCATATGGAAAGCGATTGGCTTTCGAAAAGTATCGGAAACACGTGTTTGCTAGAGTCCATTTCAAAAATCGTAGTTACTTTCCGATCAACTCAAAATCAACAATTGATAGTTCGTCTCATTCTGTTCGTTTTTTTTCAGTTGGAGGAATTCGAGAGGAACGTGGGCGATAATCACAGACCTCCTCTCGAAGCATCGCATTCGTCAGAATATGTGAACATCTCAGAGGTTCGCTTTGATCAACTTCATTTTCTCTGAACCGAAGCGCACTCTACTGTAGACGGTTTACGATTCCAACTTTTTATTTATTATAGTAGAGGCACCTACCTTCTGGAACACACGTGTTTCTTGAACAAGCGCCCTACGGCGTATGGGGGAGAGTGAAAGAGATAAAGCGAAAAAGAGAGAGAGATAGAAGGAAAGAGAGAGAAAGAAAATAAGTGTATTCCAAACTGCGAGGTAATGGCTTCAGCCTTCCCACCTTTCAGTTCAACTGATTCAACATCTTTAATCCTGAATTGCACATATGTTTCACTGCTTTCGCCTCTCTGTGATAAAGCATTTATCAGCCGTGCGTGACGGTTATGTCCGCTCACAAGGTCGCTTTGAGAGATGAAGTCAAGATCCACATACAAGTCTCTACTTTTTCGTATCATTTCTCACGACTTCTCGCTATTCTAAACACCTGCCAGTCGCTAGCTTATAGAAACATGTGTTTAAAATTCCCGGCTGCATCTTTCATCACCTACGAGTTCGGGTATTATAAACATCATTTGAGATTAATTCACATGATTGATTGGAAGATGCTTCACTTAAGTAGGACTGAATTAGTAGCTGAAATGGGAAATTACGCTATCGAAACTGTTGAAACATGTTATCATAACGGAAGAATGCTCATGGCTGAGCTATCCAACATTGTCATGGAAAAGGGAGACCGGATAAGGCGGATGGCTTGCCAATTGCAGATAATATAATAGATGTTATAAATGGCTAATCTTTCTTTTTAGTGGCCCCATCACTTCGTTTCGGCGTCCACCCCACTGCCGTCGTTGATAACTCTTCTGTCGCGTCGCCTGAGCGCATTACGGCATCATCCAACTCGTGCCATAATGCCTTATTTCCGCTATGCAATGACTGTTTATGCCGTCGTTCTTCACTTCATGCTTATTCACTGCTGGTTCTTTGCTGGTTGTCCATAATCTCTTTTCTCTCCAGTACTTCAATTCGAACATCGTAATCATGTGTCACCTTCTTTGCGTCAATCCGATTTTCTACACATTTTATACTGCATTTTGACCTGTTTCTCGCCTTCCAATGAGATTTATTCCGAAAAGCACCTCGATTGTTCATTGCGGGATGAAATATCCATTTAGGGCTTCAGTTTCAGCGTTTAATATATTATGTATATAAATTAAGCACTAACGACTCGTGCCAAACTCGTGCACAACATGCAAACGGTTCCTTTCTGTGATACGTAGGTGGGATGATTGCCGATCATTACTCCCGAAATTCTGTTGTTGAATAAAGAAAATGTTGTTTCTTGCAATTCTGTAGCAAATAAAGACGAACTGATCCAGGACAATGGTTGGTTTTTTTTGCGTATCCTATTCCGTTAAACTCGGACACGAGAAAATTTGATGTTGTGGCCTCAGGATGAAAGACTATGTAGGTAATCTTGATGTCTCCATAAAGCCCCAATCACTCCAGTCACTAACTTTTAAATTGATTCAGATAATAACAGTTCATTTTCGGTGGACCAATGTTTAACCCAGGTGAGTCCTACTCTCGCCGAGTCTATGAACCAAATCAATTTCAGATTATGCAAGCTCAAACATTGGCTTGCGTGATTTGAACGCCTAGAACAAAGGCAATGAGCAAGAATTCAATCCATCTGCCGCTTGTGATTCCTAACCACGTAATTGGCTCAGCGCTTAGACCGAGAACTAGCAAGGGTAGGATAATAGGACAGTAGCCATCTAGGATGATTCGTATTGTAAATGTTTTTGAAGCCGAACCCAAACCTGCGCTCCAAGTAAGCCGACCGGTCCTTGAATTGAGGCGAGTAGGCCAGCAAAACGAGTCATGATGCTTCCGTGTTGCGCAGACGAGATTGGTAGGGCTCAAATTTGCAGTCTCGGCACGAAATTGTGGGTGCTTTATGTATACAGTCATTTTGCTCCTTTCCTACATGTGCGTTAAGCCTTTGTAGAACATATGATGATATTCGCTGAGGTGTTTGATGGTGTGGTGAAGAATTCCCTAGTAAAGCTGATCTGGATCTTTTCTAGTTTGTTCAACAGCGTTTTAGAGTGATTAAAGTAAATGGAAATACCGTATACCAACACAGAACGCACATAGATTTTGTATGCTTTCACTAGCGAAATAGAATTCTTAGTTTTAATGATTTGCATGGTAGGAAAACTCTCTGATCAGCCTTGGCTAGAAAACTTCTCGACTGCTCCTCAAAAATTGCCTCGAATTGATGGTGAAGCCCAGATTTTAAAACGTGTTGGTGGGACTAAGGACAATATCACAAATGCGTAATGGATCTTAGGATTTTTGTGAACAGACAGTGGCAGCATATGGTCGTCGAACCACACAACGGCACAATTTATTGCTTTTTGAAGGTCGGAGGAATGATTATCAACGCTCTCGTAAATTTTGAGGTCTTCAGCAAACATTACGACTTTAACCTCGAGATCGTCTATTAAAGTCTATCAAAGAAGGCAAACCGAAAGTGAAGGTGGTAAGCAAAACAGGCGGCAGAGCGCTTCCTTGAGGAATTCCTCCAGAGGCACTCCTAATCTTTGACAAAGAACCGTTTATCATAACTTGCACGGTGCGTTGCTTAAAGGCACCGTTCACGATAAAAAAGTTATGAGTTCTTACCTTATTAATACTCAGCGGCCTTCATGGGTTATAGAAGGGACTCTCTCACTCCCCCAATCTCGTCATCCAGGGCATAGTGGCAGCCCCGTTGTTGCTATAGCTCGCGTTCCCGCCTCTCGATCGGTGTCACGTTAGACGAGTGTCGAGACAATACAGATTGCTATTATTCGTTCTAGTACCCACACACAATCAGCTAATCGTCGAGTGATGAGGCGACGTTTTTCTCCCATTCTTTTTTCCTTTTCCTCTGTTTTTCTTTTTGCTGCCGCGATCCCTTATTTAATTTCCTACTCCTAGAGGCTGAAAAAGGTGAGCTACTTTTGCTGTAACTAGGGTTTTCAAGTTTATTTATGCTTATACTCTGTCCACTCTCATAATTGAGGTCGTCCGGAGCGGTCGCGTTACTGCCGGCTGTCGTGAGTTTTTCACTCTAATAGTTTGTTTCTAAGAGTACCACCTCTTTATACTCTCTAGATTTTTCTGAGTTTTCAAACTTTTCATTTGTAGTTTTTTTTACAACTTTTGCCTGGTTTTTCTTATCAGTTTTGTGTTTTTCTTTGCAGTGTATTTTTCATCACTCCTTGGTTGCCTGCTACTTGTAATTATTGACTCAATAGACTCAATATCGGGTAGATCGAAGGTCAAATAAGATGCCTGCCAAGCAGCAGCGCACCAAGAAGGCTTCGTTGAGCAGTTCTCAGCCAGCAGTTCGACTAGCAAAGGAGACACACAGACCACGAGCTTTGGGGCGGAAAACTTCCAAAATATGTCGGCGATGGAGCTCTTGAAAAGCATTATCGAACTCAACCATGCAGCTATAGAAAATATGCTTATAGCCCTGTCGGAGAAGATTCCCATGGAATTTTCGGATCTCCTTGAAAGCGACAAGCGGGGCCGGAGCATAGTTATTTCTGGTTTGGAGGAAGGTCAAGGTGGTCCTTCAGCACGTCAGTTTGATCTCGAAGACAAAGTTTTTAGGGTTTTGGACGCCTTGGATGTGGGGTGCCGCCCGGTTGAAATGTATCATGTGGAGAAGCCGAATCCTAATCGTCCTCGTCTAGTGAAAGTGGTCCTACCATCCAGGTCGCATTGGCGCTGTGTCCTCGCCAATGCACGTCTACTACGAGAGGCTGGTCTGCCGAATGCCTTCATTCGTCGAAGCATGACTGAGGATGAAAGGAAACGGGAATATGAGCTACGTGAAGAAGCTCGGGAGCGTAATAAGGGTAGCGGCACTCATGAATGGGTTGTTTATCAAGGCCAACTCAAGCGCGCTTCTGAATTACCACAAAGTCGTTCGGGAAACCACTAACGCAGCGTGGTAATTCTGTGCTTACTTGTCAATTATAAACGCCCGTAGTCTTTGTAATAAAATCGACCACCTACATGCCCTTATTACCCAAAATGTTCCCGATTTGCTTTTTGTGACTGAGACTTGACTCACATCGAGCATTCCCGATTCTGAAATCGTAGCTTCTTTCCCGTACTTGTTATATCGATTGAATCGTAAAGTAGGTAGAGGAGGTGGTGTATGCTGCTTAGTCAAAGGTGACCTGTATAGCCATCCGATTGCAGTGAGTTCGCCTACAAAAGCTGAAGTTCTCTCCCTTGAACTCTTTTCTCCTCTGAGTTTTTCGCAAATTCGCTTTGTACTTGTGTACAGACCACCGAATTCACTTAGAAGGGAGGACGATGAGTTGACTGAAGTCTTTCGTGAAACCGTTTCGACTGAGATCAACTGTGTCATTTTTGGAGATTTCAATTTAACAATAGACTGGATGAAATTGCGTGCTTTCGACTCAATCTCATCTAGTTTTCTGAATTTCTCCAAGAGGTTGGCTTAGAGCAGAATGTCTTTGCACCAACCCATGGCAACAATACTCTCGATTTAATCTTATCCACGGTTCCCAACATATGCAACGT